CCTACAAAATTAAGTCACGGGCTTCTCATGTTTAGAGTTCTGTATTTTCTTTTAAAAAATCAAGAATATTAACATTTTCAAGTAGCTCTGCTGTGAAGCAGGTTTATTTGTTCAGATTTTTGGAATCAATTGCTATTTTCAAAGAAATATTTTATACTAGAACACCATCAACCTGAATTTGGTTTCCAATGGACTGACTAAAAAATTACATGCTGTCAAATATTGTTTCCTCATCATGGAAAGGTTTTCAAAAGAAGCATTTTAGAAGCTCATTCACTAAATACAGGAGCGGGGGCCTTGGCAACCTGAAGAAATATTTCGATCAATTTAAAAACATGCTCACTGAGTTAAAAACAATGAGTTTAAAAATAGCTGCATTAACAAAATAGTGTCACTCAATAATATACAAAGATTTTAAAAAACAATGCCATTACATAAAAAATTGCTGTCGAGTTTAGGTAGGCTGTTTCATTAGTTTTTGTTTCGTTGTTTATAAGCACAATAAAATTGTTTATTTTTACAAAGTCATTTTTTAGTTGTTTAATGTTTGTATCAACTTTAAAATAAATTAAATACAATATGGGCATCCAAAGCCTGCCAAATCAACTTGTCTCTCAGGCTTTACAGACATAAAAGGGCACACTGATGCTGGGTTCTGAACTTGGACATGTTCTCGTGCTCAGCAAGATTGGCTCAAATGCAAACATTAAGCTTCTATGAGTTTTAGCACAAAGAAAGGAATCCATGTGGAAGGAGTCATATGCCGGGCACTGGAAAGAAAAGCCCATTATCTTCAAGTTTCAGTTTCTAAATTAGATTTTTTAAAATCACACTTAAGGATATGCCTGGTCAAAAAAACCCATTTAATTTTATTTAATAAGATGGCTAAATGCCATTATGATTTGGGTTACATTTCCCTGATATTTCCAAGTAGTTTCAAGAAGCAAGCTTCTAGTGCTTTTGTTTTGTTTTTTTAAATTTTAATCCTGAATGAAAGTACATTGATTGTACTTCTAACCTTTTTACTCCATGGAAATTTCTCTTTCCACAGTCCCAGGCATCCTCCATGTTGGCATATCTACTGGGCTCCTCTCTGGCTTCCTGTTACTCAGTTCCTCAGCACCATGCCACACACGTTCTCTCTTGGTATCATGGCCCAATCTTTTTCGGTTTATCTCTACGTCAATGGCTGTTCCTTCGTAGTCTTCATTGGTCACTTTTCTATTCATCTTTTATTTATTTATTTATTTATTTATTTATTTATTTATTTATTATCTAGGTGAGAGAGAGCATGAGTGGAGGAGAGGGACAGAGAGCGAGAGAATCCTAGGTCTTCATCCCATGACCCTAGGATCATGGCTTGAGCTGAAATTAAGAGTTGGTCACTCAGCTGACTGAGCCACCCAGGCATCCCTCTATTAATCTTTTAAAGATTTGGTTCCTGGGGTGCCTGGGTGGCTCAGTTGGTTGGGCAGCCGACTTCGGCTCAGGTCATGATCTCGCGGTCCATGGGTTCGAGCCCCATGTCAGGCTCTGTGCTGTCAGTTCGGAGCCTGGAGCCTGCTTCAGATTCTGTGATTCCCTCTCTCTCTCCCCCTCCCCTGCTCAAGCTTTGTCTCTCTGTCTCAAAAATAAAATAAACATTAAAAATTAAAAAAAAAAAAAAGACTTGGTTCCTGGCCCCTTTACTATTCACACAGAAATTCCTAAATGTGACCCCTGGGTCACTGTCTGGACCAGACTTCCAAGTTTATACCTAGTTCATGGCCACTCCCTTGAGTTCCAAACTTGTATTTGAATCTACCCAAAGGACGTCTATATTTGGGTATCAGGTGGGCCTTTCGAGTTTAATATTCCCACAATGGAATTTGGAGCCAATGTCCCTTAAATCTGCTCTTCATCTAGTCTTGTCCTTTTAATGGCACTACCATGCATAGAGGGATTCAAAGCAAAAGTCAGGGACTCATCCTTGAGATACTCTTTCCCCTTATCCTGTATATTCAATGGACCAGAGGAACCTGTCTGTCCAATATACCCAACATCAGTCATTCCATTTCTCTCCTCCTTCCTTGACAGTCCTAGTTTAAACCCTGCAGTGAACTATAGTGGCAGCCTCCTATCTACTCTCTTTGGTCAACCCTTATTTCCTCCAATCCATTATTTTTTTTCTGACGGGATCTTAAAAAAACAAAAACAAAAACAGAAATTGAACCACACCATTTGAAAGTGTTTTAAGTCGTTCAACAGCCTCCACTCAGGATAAACACAAACTCCTCACTAGAGCCTGTACAGTATCTTCCCTTGTTCTGTCCCTCCCACATCACCTTGGTCTGCTCTTTTCCTCGGCACCTACTTCCTGTTCCTAGAACTTGCCAAGACTTACTTACAAGATATTTCCACTTGCTCTTTTCCTGCCTAGGAGATTTTCCCATGACCTGACTTCTCCTTCTCACCTGCTAGGTCTCTATTCAAATGTCACCTCCTGAGAGAGGCCTCGTATGACCACTCTACCTAACGTGACCCATCTTCCAGTTCCTCTGTATCACATCTGTCTTACCGATTCATTTTAAACAACTGTAAATAATGTGCAAGTCTCGTGTTAATTTATTTGTCTTTTCAAAAAAAAAATTTACTGCCTGTTCTTTCCAAAAAGAGTCAATCTTCAAGAGAGCAGGGGGCTTGTTATCTTGCTCCCTGCTGTTTCCCAAGTACCTAGAACAAGTCTGGCTTCTAGCAGGTGCGCTGAGTAAGTATTTGCTGAAAAGGGAATCAACATGACTTCCAGTATTAACATTTTTACTCACATGCCTAGTGCCCAATTATAGTTCTAAAATGTGACAAAGTTTCATTGTGGGGGATGATTCTTGCTGGTGACACAGCTCAGTTTTAGCTTGTCAGCAAGATTCTTGCATACAATACTGAACATGGCAATACCTTGCATGTATAGCATTCACAAATTTCCAAGCAATTTTTCACCTATTAAAATAACCATTAATATGTAATGGTTGTTTACTATGCATCAAGCATTATCCACGTACTTTCTAGATATTACTTCATGTTGTCCTCACAAGAGTCCTTTGTAATATCTACTGTTATTATTATCCCATTTACAGGAGAGGAGAGGGTAGGTAAGCCACCTGCCCAGCATAGCAGAACTCACTGGTGGGAAGGTGAGGCATTCTGACCCAAGAAAGGCGCATGTCACTTGGTTCTCCTCATTAAATCTAAGGTCCGTAGCATGCATCATTATTCCACTGTTACACCAGAGAATAGGGGCTCAGGGAACCAGTGCAGTGCCTAAAGACCCATGGACAGCAGGCACGAAAGGGTCCAATCTTTTCTGCAAGCCACCTGCTGTCATGACTAACAAGAGTCTTTGAACTGTGGGATGGAGATGTGCATGGGATTGTGTGTGCTCAGTCTACAGAGAAAGCTTAATGCTGTCTTGTCTTCTAAAAGCAAATGTGGCTTATAGAGATAGAGCAAATGTGGATTGAGAAATATGTTTTCTTCTTTGAGGTGGGAGATGATGATTGAGGGATGATTTATGAACAAGTAAAATGGACTGCATTAAAAAAAATACTGAAAGGGGACATACCAATGAGATAACACTGATGTGTATTGATGGCAGGATTATGTATAGTTTTTACTTTCTTATAGTTCAGAATTTAATATTTATGTTTGCCAAATGTCCCCTTCCTACAAATAAATTTATAATTGATATAAGGGTGCCTGTTCTGCTCAGTTGGTTAACCGTCCCACTCTTGATTTTGGCTCATGTCATGATCTCACAGATCGTGAGTTCGAGCCCTGCCCTGGACTCCATGCTGGCAGCGCGGAGCCTGCTTGGGATTCTCTCTCTCCACCCCCCCTTTCTCCTCCCCTACTCATGCACTCTCTCTCTCAAAATAAATAAATATTTGAAAAAACTTTATGCAATCGGTGTAGAATTGTCCCCAGGCTACTAGGAGAGCACTCTCAACACAGCCCACTTAGCAGGAAAAAGAATCTTGTGTTGATTTGATGAGCTCTGTGGTGGTTCCCAAATATCAGTGAAGCACCTTTTTTTCCCCCATTTTCCTCTGTTATTATTTAATACTTATATACTATTAAGTTCCTTGATTCACTATGTAATCTTGTCTAAGGCAGTAAGTAATAGTACATGTACCCCAATGTTCATAGCAGCACTCTCAACAATAGACAACACATGGAAAGAGCCTAAGTGTCTATCAACTGACAAATGGATCAAGAAGATGTGGTTTATCTATATGTTGGAATACTACATGGCAATGAGAAACAATGAAATCTGGCCATATGTAGCAACATGGATGGATCTTGAGGGTTTTATGCTGAGCGAAATAAGTCAGGCAGAGAAGGACAGATACCATTTGTTTGCCGTCTCAATCACCACCACGTAGATACAAACAATGTCTCAGGAAACTCTGAGCCACTGTATGATTGAATGGAAAGGACACTAGAATACAGTGCCTTTGACACTTCTTCTTCAAGGTAAAAGGAACATTTTATGGTAGTATATTCACTTCAGAACTCATGCGCTTTTGTGATGTGGAAAATGCTGTCATCCATACTCCTTGGTACACTAGCTGGTGTGAACTCAGCTGGAATTATCAGGAATACAAAAGATTTTGGCCAGGGTTGTGTGATGTTGGCTGATCAGTATAGGATGTAACAGAGGGAAACTTACATTCGTTATTGGGTCATTCTCATTCTCTGTAACACATCCCTGAAGGTTTAAGTTGAGAGCTTTACAAATGATCATGATTCTCTTGGCAGCTTTTTCTTCAAATGGTTTGATCACAAAGTCGGGTTCTAAAAGGTCCTTTTTCTGAAGTTTCAAGGTCTACAAAAAACAAGGAATGCTTTTCTCAACAAACACCCATCATGAAAAAGAAGTTCTAAATTCTAAACCACAACTGCATGGATCAAGTTCACGTCTGCTCAGAGGAATTTCGACTTACATCTATATCTGGATCCAGCGAGAACAGATTTAACCTCTCCGTATTTCGAGTTGTTTTGACAGTCTCTTCAGTTTCTGTGAGGTACTGCAGAGAAAACTGTGTTAGCTCTTGGTAACCAAGTATCCAAATACTTACAGCCTGGCCCCATCCACATGGCCAAGAAATTGCCCCTTAGTATTATCATTGTTTTAATATCATCCATTAACACTCGGCAAAGCTTATCAAAACATGCTTTTATTTTTTGAGTGTTGTATTTCTTAGTTGAAATGTTAAACTACAGCATTTCCATCTTTTCCATGAAAGCAATAACTAATAAGTAATTCAAATTTATTTGCATAGTAAAATGTCAGCTTTATTACTTTTGCAAAGTCTGGGTGTAGGCTGTTCTCTGAAGATTCTGTTTCCTCTGGAGTGCTTTCACAGGTTATAGAATTATCCAGCGAATCTTGAAAAGATACACCAAGACAGGTTATCAAATAATAGTCACGAATCACACATTTCTCTAGGCAGTGACATATCAAATTGGATGTGGGATGGATGTTGGTGGGCCAATGTCTTCATTATATCCCTCCCCTAGGACTCCATATTGTTACATGACTGAGGCCTGGAAACAAGACCTCCTTGATGGAGTGTGTATACATTTTTGATAATTCTGACTCTCTGGCCACCAATTTCAAAGCCACATTCTGGCTTCCATTACTTAAACTCTGTGAAACTCCATACATGTGAATATTCAAGTTGATTATCATTTAGTAAATCACGAATGCTAAACACCTACCCTGGTATACAGTAGTTGTGTTAAAGTCAACAACAAGTTTTCTTCCTCATTACCCCATGCCTCTTTCACTTTATAGCATATGATATTTAGACTACTAGAATTTAAAGACTGTGGTGTCTAACATCCCATGCTGCTGGGCAAAATGTCTTAAAATAGTTTTCCTTTTGGGAGGAATGACCAACTCTGGAAGCGAACTTGTCTTTCACATGGTCATAGACCTGTTTTCCTGTGTGTCTCATCACCTGTCCTTTACACACTCTTGCTCCTCTCTCTTTGCTTAGAATGAATTAGAATCTTATGAAGTAATATGGATGGGAAGAAAAAATGTTTTTATTTTATAAAGGTCTCTAATATTGTGTGACATTAATGGAACTGCCACACAGAAGCTGATCTCAGTATGGTCAAAAAGCATCCATGAAAGATATCTTTCAATTAAAAGGAACTAGTGCATGCTTGTCTTTATACAATATCATGTTAATTAATTAAAGTAAGGTAAAGGCTATGAAACACAAACTACCCCATCTAAGGTAACCTCCCATCAGACATGGGTACATTTTTAGAGCTGCCAACAAATGATTTCCATCCTCAAATCATTGCCAGTAAACTCAAAATCATACCTATGTGTGGTGACTCTCATTGTTCAATAAAAGTCAAGATTTAGGGTTGCTTTTCTGGAGCAAACAGCCCAGAGATGGACGATCTAGACTTGCCAGCTACCACAGTTAACTAGCAGATTAGATGAACCAAATGCACAGGACACATTTTGCAAAGGAAAGGAAGGGGGTGCGTGTGTTCTCACCCAGCCCCAGGTCTGCAAGCTCCGTGCTCCTCCTTCCCTGAGGTGGCCCCTCAGGGCTGATCTGCAGGATGCGGTTGAGGGTGTGGATCCATTCATCCATATCTGACTCGGTTTCAGCCGCCAGCACAAAATAGGTTAGGTCATTCATTTTCAATTCAAAGGCATATTTTCTTAGTCTGTTATTCTGTTGTGTGAAAAGACAGACAGAAAGAATAAACACCAGATAATAAGTCTTAGAGAGTGAGAGACATATTTTATGGGTCGTGCTTCCATAGCATTTTCTTATAAGAGAGTAACACAAAGAAGATCACCCAAAACAAGACCAAAATGTGGGTGGGAATGAATCATTTTGTTTGGTTTCTTTTAGGCCTTTTTGTACTAAGATGTATTTTATGTAGGCTTTTGTTGGTTGGATGAGCATGGTGGCTCAAAAATTTCATCTTCAGGGGCATGTGGCAAGACACTCTAAACTTCTTCAAATAATTGACTTGAGTCTCTGTTTTCACTTTCTCATCCTGTGTTCTGTCCACTCTTCACTCCAGTTGGGCTTCTGACCCCATCACACCCCGGGGCAGCACTTGTCATGGTCCCGGGGTCCCATGTTTATGCTGCTGTATTATCCCCAGACATTTCCTACTTTGGATTTTCCTTGACTTTTCAGTAGAATTGACATCATGGCCACTTCCTCCTTCCTGAAATCTGTCTGTGTTTGGTTTCCATGACCACACTCTATTCTGGTTTTCTTTCGTCTTCAGCCACCACTTTTCAATCATCTCTACTGGCTCTTCTGTATCTTGGTGACATCTAAAGCTAACTTTGGCTCTGCCTTAGATTCCTTCCTCTCTCATCTGGCCCAGTGGCTTTAAAGGACAGCCACATGGTTGGGCACCCCAATTCTTTTCTCTGGCTCTGGTTCTTCCATCAGTCTCCAGATTTTTCTCTTATTCAACATCCCTACTTTGCCTTTGGTGATGAATCCATGAGGTCTTTGCTTTACTTCCTGAATATGCTCTGGTTACATGTTTTGTTTCTGCCCCTCCCCCATGTGTCCCTCATACACTCCATCACCATGCTTGCCCCTCATCTACACAGGGGACTTGTAGTCACTCTTCAGATCTCAGTCGAGGTTATACTTGCTCAGGTGAACTTTCCCCAATTTCCTAGGACAAGGTTCTCATCTTTCCAGACACTTACAACAATTTGGAATTACATACTTATTCATTTTCATTTGTTTGTTTTGACCAACATGTGCCTCCTTCACGGCTGTCTCCAGAAGATCAAGTCAGTTCTGCTCACCACTGTTCCCTGTGCTGCCGCACAGAAGGCTTAGTACCAGTGGTTTCAACACATTCACCTTTTATAAGGGAATAGGATTGCTTCCTGTTTTGGGGAAACTGACATTCATCGGGAAGCATGAATGAGCAAAAGACTGAATGAATGAACAAACTACTGGAAAATAGAGATTTTGTGCTGTGCAGAGAATTAAAATGGGCTCATGGGCAAGTAGCTACTTCAGACTGGCCTTCCTAGAAGGGGCATCCAAGTAGAAATCTGTAAAGCAACTGAGCTGCTCCAAGATGGGAAAAGTCCACTGAAACCAGAGGGAATATGACAGCAAATTACTATGGCATTTTTATATATTCCTGCCATGAGAATAGAATTATAAATTCAAAGTGGAATGATATGGTCTGCAATGATATAACTGTGTTGTATTATCTGCAGTGGTTGTAAGAATTATTGAAGATATTCCAGCTCTAATTCACTCACAGGTAATTCTGATTCAGGTAGTCAACTCTTACCCATAGTCAACTCTGCCATGAAGTCATTGGAGCGCCCACAATGATAACAGTGTGAAGCCCATGGACTTAAGATAACCAGGTAAAATACAAACAGGAGAAGAACCATAAGATGAGAGTAACACTATCAGGTGGGATTGTGGCTGAATATCGAAGTATAAAATTCTTTTCATGGGGCCCTGGGTGGCTTAGTCGGTTAAACATCTGACTTCAGCTCAGGTCATGATCTCGCAGTTTGTGGGTTTGAGCCCCGCGTCGGGCTCTGTGTTGACAGTTCAGAGCCTGGAGCCTGCTTCAGATTCTGTGTCTCCCCCTCTCTCTGCCCCTCCTCTCCTCATACTCTGTCTCTCAACAATAAATGAATGTTAAAAAAAATAAGATTCTTTTCGGGAATAGGACTGCTATTCTTGGTGGCAAGAAAAAATAACTTGTAATGTCCTCCTGGTAATGTCTTCTTTCTTGGTGACATTCTCAGAAGGCTGTTCTAAAATAGCTTGCTCCTTTCAACTTCCACAACATCATGATTACTACCACAAATATGACACTCACTAAACACTTGTCATCTAGATCGCAGGTACCTTGTTGAGCATGCACAGTCTTTATTCTACTTCATCCCATAACAGCCCTGGGAGACAAATTGTATTATTCCATTTAACATGTAATGACATGGAGGCTCAGAGAGATACATTAAAATATGCTTGGGATTCTGCAGGTAACAAGCAGCAGAGAAGAGAAGAAACCTTTTTATCCTCTAACACCTACTGAGATGATCCAGACGCAAATATGCTCAGCATATTCTGTTCCCCTTCCTTGTCCCCTTCCTGGCACAATCACATCCCAAAGGGATGGTCACGGCTGGGAAGGTCATGGCTTCTTTAAGTGCTGACAATAGACAGGGGTAACACATATACCTCAAGGAAAAGTAAAATTCAGGAGAAAGAAGAGTTAGCTGAGAAACCAGCTGTGATTCTTACTGCAAAACTCCATAGCTCAAATGCCACTTTCTAGAATCTTCCAAGAACACGCTCTTGGCTCTGGCTCATACTTTTGTATTATTGTCAAATGTTAGGTTTCTTTTCCTTGCAACGACTCACTCTCTGGCTGGCTTTTAAAATAGTCTGTGAGCTTGATATGGGCAGAGTCTGACTGGTTATCCTCAGTTCTCAGTGCGATGATGGCATTCCTTCATAAAGAGGTGTCTGTGGTATTCACATTTTGTGCTGTGCAAAGACAGACACGTTCACTGCCCTGGCTGAACAGTGGAGACAGGCATTAACCAGTTAATTACACAAGTGTGAAACTGGAAGGGAAATGTACTTAGATTCTGTGTGAATGTGTTGAAGAAGAGGTATACAATGAAGGTATAAAAACTCTTCCTGAGAACCAGAATGCTCTTGCAATAGGAGAATATTGCTATTCTCATAAGACCCTCTGGGTTCTGGGGTGCCTGGGTGGCTTAGTCGGTTCAGTGTCCGACTTTCGCTTAGGTCATGATCTCGCGGTTCGTGGGTTCGAGCCCCGCGTCGGGCTCTGTGCTGACTGCCAGCTCAGAGCCTGGAGCCTGTTTCAGTCTGTGACTCCCTCTCTTTCTGACCCTCCCCTGCTCATGCTGTCTCTCTCTCTCTCTCTCTCTCTCTCCTAGAAATAAATAAAACATTAAAAAAAATTAAAAAAAAAAAAGACCCTCTGGGTTCTAGGAAAGCAGAGAACAGGATGATTTTGACTCATAAAAGGCCAGAACTGCATTTTGAGGCTATTTTGGCTGCAATATAAACACGGGGTGGGGGTTTGCCAGAAAGGCGGCAGTGTCCCCAAAGGTCAGTGTGCAGAGCAAACATCTATGCAACTCCTTTAAGAATGCAAATTCTTAGAAGTTATGAACTCCATGGGAGGTGTGGAGGACTCCCTCCATACACCCTAACACACACATCTGGAGGTTCTCATGAGGTAGGTCCATAAAACCGCATGTGGTCTGTACTGACACAGAGGGTCCAAGGGCAAAGACAGCTTGGCCTTGAGAAAGTATAAAAGGGAACACAGTTTTCCTTCACAGAACAACAGGAACAGAAATAGACACGGAGGAAAGAACTCGAAACGCTTGGAGTTCAGGGCATAGCTTTGGCTGGAACGCTGTGAAGTATCTGAGTGCAGCAAAATGCAAGCCAGTCTTAGTGTGGTCTTGAAAACAAACAAATTAAAGGGTCTGCTTCATTAATCTCATGTCATAATGTGGACAGGGAGATGAAAAGCCATGTAAAATGCTTATATTAATTATATGAATTAAAAGTCAATGGAAATGCACTCTGCTTCCAAATGCAGATGACAAGGAACTCAGAGAATTCTAGATGGAAAACAGGAGAAAACATAGACACTAAAATTTGATTTTCTAAATTGTATACTATACTTCAAGTGAATTGAAAATGGGCTGCCGACTTCACCAATATTATAAAAAATATTTTGTAAAACTTTGAGCAAACTATCAGCACTTGTTTCTCAGACGGGTTTTTTTCTTTTTATCAATGACATAAATATTCTATTTTCAGCTTCTCAAAAACCAAATTATCCTTTTCTATTTGGAGTGGAACAGAACCACTTACGGCATAGAGAAGCTTACACTGGGGAAGATTGTGATGCCTAAGTGGTTTTCTATCTCATTCTCTGTGATCTCTAAGATAATGGCATAGAAAATCACAAAAAAGAAAGGACAAAATTAGGAAGATCAATGGGACATTTTAATAATCTTGAAATGTAACTGTTACATTATTACAGTGGTAATCAAGAAATAATCATATTCTTTTTTTTCGATCTCCCAATTTTCCTCTTTCCCTGAAAACAGTGTCCTTTGTGGCAGATGTGACTCTCCGGTTAATGAACTCACCACAGTCCATCTACACAGATTCATAAATAACAGGAAACTGTGAATATGTCCTAACATCACCTGACATGTTTAATGAGTTGTAGCCAACTGGTCTGTTGCCACAATATTCATCTGGAAATGTTCTGAAATAGATACTCCAGCAAAGCTACCAAAACCAATGGAGAACTGAATGTCAAAGCAAGTTACCCAAACAAAATATTCCATTGTGCCTATTATGTTACTAGCATCTTTTGCAAGAACAAAAGGAAAGGTTTCAGAAGAAACACACAACATCACATTCAGGTTACTGGGATTGGCGGCTACCATTGATGTAATCCTTTCCATTCTCTGTATGTTTATTTGTGCATTTCATTCAACAAAAATGTACTGGGTACCTTCTGTGTGTCAAGTGCACAGCATTATAAAAAGTCAAGCAAAACCCTTGCCCTCACTGAACTGACATTCCAGTGGAATGGAGTGTCCATAAACAAATAAAGAGAAATATAGCATACATAATATGTATGTACTAGAAGGACAATACAATAAAGCCTCATGCATTGATATATGTTGTATCTTATGTATCTTATATGTCATATCATATTCTTACATGTTACCAGAACCTATTGTTTGAGATGTGTCACTCATTTGATTGGCATGTGCTATCTTTGTGGGTTCTTTCTGTGCATCCTCCCACAGGCCAGGAGTTCTTTGAAGAGAGAAGCCACATTGGATTCATATTTGGCTTTCCCACAAAGCCTTGCATAGCTAAGTGTTCAATATATATTTTCTGAAATAAATCCTCCACCTAAAACTCAGTGCCTAAAGCTACACATGAGCATATCTTTGTAGTGCTGCTTCTGTCCACGCGGCTTACACAGGATAAATGTACAAATATATGTAGGCATGTCCATACAATGGATGATTACCAGCTTATTTCCTTGGGCGTCTTTCTGTAGTTTCGGGCATCCTTCCACTTCAAACCTAATTTTGCCATTTATTAGCTCTGTGATTTGGGAAAGCCACTCTATCTCCCTGAGTTTTATGTTAATAAACTGGGACAATAATAATGCATGTTCCATCAACTGTGTCAAATAATATATCAGAGAAGGAAAAGTACAAGTGTCATTCTGGTTTTTACTGTTATCGCTGGAAATGAGATTTTATTCATTTATTTATTTATTATTTATGTTTAAAAGTTTATTTATTTATTTTGAGAGAGAGAGAGAGCGTTCATACGTGTGTATGCAAGCAGGGGAGGGGAAGAGAGCAGAGGAGAGAGAAGCCCAAGCAGTCTCCTGTTGTCAGGGCAGAACCCCACCTGGGGCTCAATCTCAAGAACCTTGAGATCATGACCTGAGCCAAAATCCAGAGTCGGCTGCTTAACCAACTTAGCCACCTAGGTGCCCCAGCAATGAGATTCTTTAGAGTCAGAGTTTGCTAATGCAAAGTTTAGGTTACATTTAGTTTCTAGATTTGTTCTCCTTGGCAGTTTCCCTTCCCAATTTTACTATCCTTATGTTGGCATGCAGACTCCAGTTCTACACAGTCAAGGCTGCTCCCTGGTGTCTCACACCTGGCCCTGCTTCCTTCATGTGGTGGGCTGCCTGAGCCACAAAATGCATCCGAGTTTCTAGACTTCATTTAAGCACATGAGGCTGTTGTCTTGGAACCCACATCCACAAGATGGTAGATTCAGCACGTAGGAGGAAATAAACAGTGTTTGGCCCCTCACCCCCATTTAAGCCTGCATTAAGTGACATCAGTCATTACTAATTTTGTGGAGGGAACTCTAGCATATGGGATTCTTGGACTATTCATTCTCTTCCATAGTGGCAAGATCTTGAGTGGATGGATGGATGGATGGGCCAATGGGTGAATGAATAAGAAGACCTTGAAGGAAAAAGATAGGATAACACAGGGCTGAATGTCCCTTGGTACCAGATCAAAATCGAAGCAGCAAACACTGGAAGTTCTGTTCCGGACTGGGAGTGCATGGGGTATAAAACAGATCTCATATCACGATTTGATTACATCACAAAGTGGAAAACTACTATTAGTTATTTTTTTTAAAACTGAGATCTAAAAAATTTCCAATCATAAATATCAACAAAAGTCTCTCAAGAAATTTGGGTAGGAGTTTCTTTCTACTTGATGTCACCCTTGAAATATATTTCTAAGAACTCCAAGGATTATTCTTAGAAAAAAAAAAAAAAAACAATGACATAGGTTGGGTTTGAATGAAGCAAACTAAAATGACTTGTTCACAGAAGATTGTTAGGAGCTTGGACTTCCTAAGAATGCCAGATGGTAGGTATCACTTCTGAGGTAAAAGTCTTTGTTACTCTTTTCTGTTTTATTCAAGGGAAACCAATAATGATTCTTGACAAAACAGGTCTGACTCATTCTATTATTCATTTGTTTTGCGATCTTGTGTGTACATGTTTCATCCTCAGGCACATTTTGTACCTGAGAGCTTGGGAGAGCAATGACTAAACTTGCATCCTCTTATTTCAGAATCTTCTTTCCAGTTGTAAGACTTCATAAGCCAGAGAGAGCTATAAGTAAATATGTAAGAATCAGAATCCAGACACAAGGTGGTAGGTAACCCAGAGATCTATCTTCCCAGTGATCTCAAGAAGTTGGAGGTCCTCCCTCCCCAAAGGGTTACAAATTCTTGATAATAGAATAGAAATGAAGGGATATAGGACTAAACTCTTTAAAAGATATAATAAGTGTTCCCAAATATTTGAATGGCCATCTACTGGGAAGTGAAATAGAAATGCAGTTGTGCTTTAAGATGCAACATCTACCTTGGTGAATCCTGCTAGCTGATCCAGAAGAGTTCATTCATCACTGTTATGTGCTTCTAGAACATTCAATAGAAGGTGCTGCTTATCTTTTGTGACACTGTGTAATTGTTCGCAATGAGCCTATATTCCTCTCCGGTTATGACTTCAGCAGGGAGTTCTCAATGCCTGAGCCCAGTTCCTACTATGTCATAGACATTAAATAAGTTTGTTGAATAATAGAATAAGTGAATGAATAAAAAAATAAATGAATAAAGAAGCATATTTAGGTAGAAGTTTCAGGAAGGTGAATTGGGATTTTCTAGGTAGGTCTTTCCCCAGTGGAATGTCTATTTCTCAAAGTTGTGACCTTCGTACTTCATGGAAAGACTATCACCAGCCAGAGCTGACCTTTACTTCCCACTTGCTTGTACTTAATTGACTTTTGTTCCACATTTTTCCTTAGGTTCTTATTTCTAGTTTATCTTTTAACTCAGGCAAAAAGCCTCAAGGGCACAGCACCCCATGATAAAAACCAAAACTACTCCTCAAACAATAACTGCTCATATGAAGAGCTTCTGTGGCTCTCAATATCCAGATCAGTTTGAACTTAAACCCTGACTCATGTCAACGCAGGTGGACCAGGGCATGACCCCCAGAGTAACCAACAATTATCTTTACCTCATTACAATATTAAAATCTGTCCTCAAAGAGGAGTACAGGCCTCATTTATAAAACATTCGATGTAGGTACAGGCACATTTCCTTAAGACACATGTATGACCTTATGCCTGGTTCTACATATGGTGATAAGGCTCCCTTTTCTAAATATTTATCCTAACCCTACATAAAGGAATCCCACTCACCCTTGCTAGGGAAGTGAGTCACCATGATCTCCGTATTTGTTGCAAATAAAGTCTTTTTTCATATGATAGCTCACCTGGTGTAGTTTCTACCTGTGACTCACCAAGGAGCGAAATCACGTTAGTTTGGTTACAAGACTAGGGAAGAATGGCTGAAGATACACAGCCTCCCAGATCCTATTCCATGCTAGCACATTATTTTAGTTTTTACACATGAGAAACCTAAGCTCCAAGTCCGAGTAACTTACTCAACACCTCCAACAGTAAATGGTGAAACCAGCATTTGAATGCTGACCCGCATGAACCCCAAAATGTGTTTTCTTCTAGAAGACTTTCTCCAGCTCCAACACACCACCTCAGCAGAGACTGAAGCACAGTCTGAGACATGATGGAGAAGAGGTTCCTGTAGTCAAGGTCAGATTTGAGCATTGAGATGTGCACTACACCGAGTTATATGATTCTTTGAAGAAGCAATGTCCTATTAATGCGTGTCTCTTTGAGCTTGATATACAGCATGGGCTACAGTGATACTTCTTAAAAGATGATAATGCATTTGCTAGAGCGAGCTTTGAAGGAAAAAATGGAAAAGAAGATATTTAAAAATTTTAGCTCAATTTCTAGAAAATGTAATCCTTGATCTTTAACCTCCTGCTGAAGTTTTACTTGACATTTCTAAAGCTAAAGCTTCCTTTGTGACCAACAATAGAAAACTGTCTCCATCCTCCATTAAGATCCTTATTGTCCTTTCCATATGGAAAGCTGGCATGTGTGTTAAAATGCAATTATCTTTCGCTTCTAGCTACTGCTCAGCAATACTTAATTAATTCTTTCCTTTTAAAGTTCGGCATTAGTGCTTTCTGGAGGAATTCCAGACTTTAACAGATAGACCATCCAGAAAAAGGGTAGGCCTAAGTGACTGGAGAAAATTCCATTTTGCATCCACATATCCAAGTGCCCTTTGGTATTAATCCAAGATGTAATCTCAGCTACAGTGAATGCCTGCAGCTTAGTGGGAAGAGAAAGATGTACTCATGGTGACCAGTGACCAGAAACACAGTCCTCAACCTCCACAAGCCAGCATCCTTTTGTGAAATTCAAGTTGAAGTTTCTGTAACATCTGTACTTTGATTGTTACATAAGAGGGAATAAGGATACTTATTTCATCAGAATGAAAAGAAAAAATGAAAGTAAGATGTCCAAATGAGGCCTATGGAATTATTCTGCTTCCCTTTGCCGCAGCAGTGTCTATGTCACATCACGTACTATGAACAATCACATACTAAGAAGAGATTGCAGAACAGTACAGTCTGTTAAAAGCACGGTGTCTGTTTTTGAAATTAAGCTCTTGGGAATTGATGTAATCCTTGTCTTCGAAGGAAACCTCCTCTTAGAAGGAAGATGATTATATGTACACTGCAAATTTACTACCTCATTATTATCCAATAATAAAGATAGGATTTATGAAGAATAGTGAGCTATGTGGTTTATATATTATCTTACTGA